CTTGTAGGGACTAAGAGAAAATGAGGAAGGCTCACCTAAACTGAACAAGACTAACAACTCCCTCTTCCCCTCTCTGTTTAACCTTTTAAAGAAATCTGTTCAAGCTGATAGTCTTTTTCCTGTTGTTAGCAAGGAACAGCAGCTTTAATCAACTAGTCTTACTTTCTGCTTTCTTTGCAACTGTACTGTTAAAAACACAAACTCAGATTTTTGCTGAAGTTGCAAGTGCATTGTACTTCCTTGTGGTTTGTTGTGAGAAGTTAATTCACCGAGGTCTCTGGAAAAAAAAAAAATCTCAACTTTCTATGTAAGTATTTGATCATGTGTTCAAAACAGTTTCTCACTTTTATACAGTAGGGATATTTGGTTTTTGCTCTCTTTAATCATAAGATAGGCTGTTATGGTGCTCCAAGACCTGTAATAATCAAGCAAAATGCTTCCTTTGTGTAGTGTGGAAGCAGAGAGTTTGTAAAACAGCTACTGGAAGGCATACAGAGTTCTCAGTGAGGGTCACTGCTACTGCCAAAATAGTTATCTCGAACATTGGTATAACTAGATTGGGGGACAGGGGAATAAAAAGTCCATCATCTTTCCACTCCAGTCATCCTTTGTGTTTTTAATAGAGTGAAAATGAAATTTAGAATAAATTGTCTTCAGTGGGTTAAAAGTAGGATAGGATTAGAAAACATGTCTTTCCATCAAGACAAGGAAAAAATAGACGTTAATGTGATTCTCATTAAATGCCTTTGTTTTCTTGAATGAAAGATAGGAAAGTAAAGAATCAGGCCAGCATTAATGGATTGATGGTTTGCAAGTCTATTACAGAATAGCAAGTGAAATCTTTTAATTTTCTAGAAGAGTGAAGAATGCTCATTTCACCTACTCCAATGTGTTCTCTTCTTGAAATGTTTGCTTTACATTTGTTTTTCCAAAGCGCTACTTCAGAGTTACTCTCTCCTAGTAGCCTTCTTCAGAAGCTTCACCCTAGCAAAGCTTCCAGGTTGGGGAATGGTGCTGCCGTAAATTGGGCCTCCTGCATGTGTACGTACTCCAAGCTCTCTTGCTTTTTGGGTGTAGCTTTGTTGGTAATTCAACTAATAAATTCTAAATGCAAACCGTAGCATTTCCCAAATACAGGGTTCTCTCCAAACCATTTCTGCACTCGGTGAGGCTATAATTTTTATTCTGCTTCCTGCCTGTACTTTACAGCAAAACCATGAATATTTTTCCTTCATTTAGCTGCAGCCTGTATGGAGAGCACAGCAGGGTCTTGGGACCTGCCTTTTTTCGTTTGTTTTTTTCTCTGAAGCCAGGTGCACGGGTTCCTAGTGCATGTGGTGTAGTTGGGCAGGAATGAAGGCTCTTCGCTTTCTGGTGCTGTTTTTTGGAGCTTGACAGCTTTATGCTATGTTCAATCAACTCCTTCAAGAGTGAGGCCAGGGTTGGATCGCTTTTACTCTTCTCACAGTTTACCTTGCAGCAAAGCTCGTGCCTGCGTTGCTGTGCAGCCTGGCTACCTCACTAATTTGACAGAAACCAAACCAGTGCTAAAAAGCTAATTTTCTGCAAGACTGTATTAGTTTTACTGTGCTGTTGTGTAATTGCTAGACTTGATGCAAGAGGGAGAAAGGGGAAGCGGTTGGAGGGTTGGGAGGCCCCTGGGTTTGGTGCTGGCGGAAGCTTGGCATGGCATGTGAAATTGCACCCTGATTGTCCATGTGCCTACCGATGTTGTGGTTATGATTAATTCTTCAGGTATTTATTTCGTTGGCCAAAGTTGGTGGTGTTTAGGACTAGTAGGTGTTCCCATGTACAGTAAAATTTCCAAATATCATGTGTGATATTAAAATAATTTTTTAAAAGCTTGTGAAGCTGTAACAAGTAATAAACCAATCTTTTTTTCTTTGGGGAGGTACACGTAGGTGAGACATTTACTTGTACAGTGTACTTGACTTTCATAAATACTTCGGTAAGGCCTCTCATCCCTGGCCTTTAAAGAAACAAAACTCTCATAAGACAAGAATGTTTTTCATAGATTTATAGTGGGTTAAAAGACAGGAAACGGGTTTAGGAGTAAATGGTTTGTTCTCACAGTGAAGGGTTATTCCCAGTGAATTGTCCTGCCAAAGATCAGTGCTCTTGCAAATACTCCTTTTTTCCAGATCGTTTCTAAATAATAAGGTGGACAAATTGAATCAAATCGGTCAAATTTGAAACAAATCTTGAATTGCAAGGAAGGATGAAAGATTGAGACCTGCTGAGTGATAAAATGGCAGATGAAATGGCCTCAACGCATTTGCATAGGAAGAAGAAACGACCCTGGTTTCATGTGCACGAGTAGAGGCACAACTGCAAAAAGGCAAATAGACTTTTAGAAAGTATTTGATAAAGAGTGGGAAATCCTAAGCAGTAAATTACTATGTTGTGATATAAGCTTTTGTTACTGCCAAATCTGAAATGTAGAGTGCTTGAAACTGCGTATATCTCGAGAAATTGGAGTGTAATAGATGCATGGGAAGACATCTGGGATGACTGGAGATATGGAGCAGCTTCTAAACAGAGGGACTGAATTTCAGGAGATCCTCAGTTCAGAAGGAGATGGGTAATTTCTGTAGAATCACTAGTAACATAAAGAAACATAAAGGAGTAAATGTCCGAGCTTAAAATAAGCTGAAGTACTTGTTTGTGTAGTGTGGTCACTGTGCTGCTGCTGTGAGGGTGAAATGGGAAACAGAAGTGGCCTCAAAAAAGGGGTTGGTAGAGACACAAGGTGCCTATTGCTGGCTGTAGAGCCTCCACCACAGGTTGCATCTAAGATGCCTAAGCTTCTGATAAGGTAAGGCAGAGGAATATATATTTTCTTTTCTCGTACTGTTTACATGAGGATTTGTGTCTGAGCATGTTGGGCTTGGTGGACTTTTTATTGAACTGGTTTAGGAGGTTTCATAGTTCTCATGGTTTTGATTTTTCATGTTATTTACTGCTTTTCTGGTTGGGTGGCAAGCTCAGTCCTTGTGGGCGGTTTGCATTCTTCTGATCTGGAATCCATATCATCGGTATAGTTGTGTTCATGATTAGGCTGGCACTTGTAAAACTGGAGCCAGCAGAGGATACAAGCTAAAGAAGTTATTGCCTACAGCCTGCTTCAAGTCCTTTGTGACCATCTTTCTACCAGATGCTGCCACCTCCTTGGATAATTTGTTTCAGCTTTGTCTGTGAACTTGGCTTAATCCAAGAAATGGTTTAGGTTAAATAAGGTGTGTATGTGTATTGTGGTGTGTTTTTAATTTTTTTTTTTCTATTGGTGCCTCACCTTTTGAGAATAATGCATTAGAGAGTGATCACAAGGGCAGGTGAGCCAACGAATTTGGACAGTGTTAACTTCTGGTGTAAAGCAGCAGTCATGAGCACCTGGGAATATTTATATAGGATCAGTCTTTTCAGTTTCTGGGTTTATAATGCACAAACCTGTAAATGCCTCAGGAGACGATGCCCCTTTTTATGCCTGTTGCTACCAGCCATCTGACAACAGATTGACGTTCTTCTACAGCTGGTTTTAAATATTGGGGACAACACCAGGATGATGCAGTTTACCTGAAGTTTAGTGTTGATCTCATTTAAAGTTAATTTTCTGTGATGTCATAGTAGTTTTTTATTCTGCCAAAAATTAACTTTAGTGAAACAAGACAAAATACAGTAACTCATTGGACCTGTTCTGTGGTAGTTTAACTTGGCCAGAATGGTTTTCTAGGAAGGGTGTATGCCTTTATGCTAAGAAAGTCATAACAGAGTTGCATGTTGTCCAAATTAACAATTCTGCTTTCATTCTAAATGGCACAATAGTAATTTGAAGAATGATAACAATGTTAGCTTAATCTTTGCTTTACTTCTCTCCGATGTCTTTTGTGAGTGATGCCCTTTCTTCTTTGGAGTGTTTGGAGAAATGTTATTAGAGGGCATCTTGAATGTGCAGTCTCTATTAACGCTGCAAGTTCCATTACAGAATCAGTGCTTAGTGTTCATGCAACTGGTGAATGTCAAAGACTATTCTAACTATGTTAATGTAATAGCAAAATCTGCCAGTTTACTCAAGTAATGTATTCTGAAGCTTAATAGGCCTCTGTTTACTTGAAACAGTGACCTTAAATAAATAACTGAAACAGCTTTCCAGCTCCGGAGCTTGTCCTTGGGTTTTCTTGCCAGTCGTTTTGGTTTTACAATTCTGTTTTTGTATAATTAGAAATGCTTCTGTGCTGTGTGAAGGACACACAGCAGAAACTGTGGGTCTGATGAGTGTTGTCAAATGTACCAAGTAAATGTATTTGGGGAAAAAAAAAATTCCCCTCTAATCTGTTTAACATTGAAGGTCACCTTGAGTTGGAGTGCATCCTTCTGGTGCTCAGTTCTCTTCCCTAGGCCTCAACGGGATGCAGAGCACTGTTCAAGATCTCTGCCCTGAAAATGAGTGTGCTTTAAATTTACCTGATGTTTCAGAAATAGCTTGGTTAATTTTTAGGAACTTTGCTTGTTCTCTCGGTACACATATCCCTACAACAGTGGTGGCAGGCTGCAGGTGTCAGCTGTTAGAGGGAAGCTAATGGCTGCTAAGCATGGAATTCTAATGTAGTTTCATCTCAGCTCTGCAAGCTAGCGTTGTAATTTCTGTGATTAAAAATTCTAGGTAGGTTTTACTTTGTTGGAAACTAAATCCATATGTCATTTATTGGACTTCGTTTCTATTTTGCCTTTAAAATTCTGCATTTGCAAATGTTTGGGTATCTTCTTGCCTTTGTCTTCTTCAGCAGTTCAGATTTTTAATCTTCAGTGTTTAATATTACTTGTGAGAAGAGCACGTTGTTTTCAAAATCAGATGTCCCGAAGAAATTCGGGGAGAAAATTCGTCAGTTTATTCTAGCAGAATTTCTCAAAAGTGTCTGTAGATTGCTTTCCATGTAAGAATAATTAAAGACACAACTAACATGCTTTGTTTTCTTCCCTTACTCAGGTCATGATTTTCATTTTCTCATGTTGTTCTCTTGAAGAGAGGAAATGATTGTAGTGGAACGTGTTACAAATAAGCCACTGATACGGAGCCTTCACAGTTCGGAAACGTTCATAGAAGAGCAAATATAGCCCTTTTTTGTTTGTGTTCTGGAATCTGTCTCGTTAAAAAGGGAAATAAAAATGACGACTTCGTCTATTAGACGGCAGATGAAGAACATTGTGAACAATTATTCAGAGGCCGAAATAAAAGTTCGAGAAGCAACCTCTAACGACCCCTGGGGTCCCTCCAGTTCATTAATGACTGAAATAGCAGATCTGACGTACAATGTTGTGGCCTTTTCTGAAATTATGAGCATGATCTGGAAACGACTGAATGACCATGGCAAGAACTGGCGACATGTATACAAGGCCCTTACTCTGTTAGATTACCTGATTAAAACTGGTTCTGAGAGAGTGGCGCAGCAGTGTAAAGAGAATATTTTTGCTATCCAGACATTGAAAGATTTTCAATATATTGATCGAGATGGTAAAGACCAAGGCATCAATGTGAGGGAGAAATCCAAGCAGCTGGTGTCTCTTCTGAAGGATGATGAGCGACTCAAGACAGAGAGGGCCCAAGCCCTGAAGACCAAAGAACGCATGGCTCAGGTGGCCACTGGAGTGGGTAGCAATCAGATCACCTTCGGCCGAGGCTCCAGTCAGCCAAACCTGTCCACCAGTTACTCGGAGCAAGAATATGGAAAGTCTGGAGGATCCCCAGCATCTTACCATGGCTGTAAGTACAAGCAAACAAGAGTAAATGGTGCCTACTAGGAGAATGAATATGCTGACTGCAAGGGGCTTTTTGCAGGGGCTGAGTCTTTGTGGGTCTGCTCCTTGGTACTAATGTCTCTTCAAATGATTGGTTAAATATTTGTTTTGGAGAGGATGTGCCTATTGACGTAAATCCATTTAAAAAGCAGTTGTTTACTGTCAGTTCCCAAAGGTAGCATTGTCAAGCTGCTTTTGTGAACGTGTTCCAATGTTTGATGTGATAGGCCCCTAATCTCAGTAGGGAGATTGTGAATGGGTGGGGATTTTTTTGTTTCTAGTTTTAAAAGGAGTGCTTGAAAATTTGTTGAGTTCTTTTCTGGAATTATACTTAACAAAAAAATTAGAAATGCAGAGTATTTCCTGGATCATTTTGCTACTTTCTTTATGTTGCTGCTATTTTACTTTGGGAAGAGTATTAGTATTTAATTTCCTTTATTGCTTGCTCAGCAGTTCTTAGAGTAGTAATGCTTTGAATATGTCTATGTTTAAATATTTATACTATCAGCATTTAGTATGCAACTATGAGTACTAAATGCTATATTTCATTCTTTAAAAAATAATACAATGATGTGGGAAGAATGGATTCTTTATACCACTGCTTGGGCGAACTCCCTGTCATGTTAGGAAGAGGCCCGATTTGGCAAGAAATCCTTCTTAATATAAGTAATGATCTGATGAAAGCTGCTTTGACTGGAATGTCAGTGGTTGTGGTCTAATTCTGAAGGAAAATCTTTTCTTTAAATGAATGCTTATAGTGTGTGGAGGACTGTAACTGAGCCAGTGTGGTGAATCGATTGAGAACCAGTTTTAAGAATCTTAAGTTTGTCGTGTCCTGTGTCCCAGAGTGCTTCTTAAATTATAAATACGTGAATGGTGTCGGTACCCCTAACATGTACAGACTTTTTCCATGGAAGGCAGTAGGAGGTAGCAGGACAAATGAAGCTAGGATGAAGAAAATCTATGTCCATTTAAAGCTATGGAGAAGAGCAGGAATTTTTTTTTGTTTCAAAAGGAACTATTTTTAGGATGTGGGGTTCAAAAAAAGTGCATGAAGGTTTTTAGGTGTGAGAATTTTTATCTTGTCTCTTAATTAGCAGTGGAATAACAAACATCTTAGTTTTTCTGTAATAACTACTTGAGCATTGATTCAGTGTGAATTTTTAAAGAACATGTATGTTGTTATCACAACAATAACATTTTTTTCTTTTGAGGTCTGTAGATCTGTCGACTACAACAACAAAAATTCTTAATTTAGGAGATAGCTTGAAATATTGTTGGTTTTAATTTACGCTGACGGACTGAAATAATAGTCACTAAGGTATGCTGAGCGCACCTTTGGTTTGTTCCGCAGGGTTATTTCTTCACTGGCTCTTAACTTTAATTAGTGCGTGTAACTATTGTTTGTCACGTTAAATGCTACCAGAGGCTTCAAACTGTTCCTTGCAGCAAGGATTGAGCAATGCAGGGTGTGTTTCAGAACTGTTGTTCCTTGGACACTTTAAGAATTTCGATGGGGGACTCGATGTCAAGAAACAAATTTGGTTATTCTTGCAGTACAAAGTGTTGATTTACTGGATAGTCTCATATGCCTGTGTATGACTTTGCTGTATATCTCTATTTGCAGGATTGCTTTTGAGGTAATGATTTCTTAATCTTTTTTTTTTTCTCCTCCCCCATAAGCACGTACCTAAGAAGCTTTAGAAATCTCAGGCGCTTTTTTTTTTTTCCTTCTTTAGGTTCTTCCTCTGTTGTAGACTCTCCTGGACTTAATTATTTATCAGCAAAAATACAAACGATTGTTAGTTTTTATGATCTGTATCTTTTGAAGTTTTAATGTTTCTTGTATGCTTTAATTGAGTAGAGCAAAGCAAACCAGCACTTTACAAAACAGCTGTGCTAAGTGCTTCCGATAATGGAAAACTTTGTGTAGGGCTTTGTCCTTTATCCTCAGAAACGAGGAAGGAGTTTCATCAAAATCCAGACATTTAATCTGTTACATAAATGTAGGGTTATTCTTGTGCCTTCGAAATTTAATAGAAAAGATGCTTTTCATTATTTAAAGTGAAAGAGATTGTATCCATCATGTTTTCTTTTATTCTATAATGATACCTTTCTTTTGTTCTGGAAATATGGATTCAGTAAAATATGTAGAAGGAACTAAGTTACGCTTAGCTCCTGGGAAACACTCTCCTTATAACAGTTTTAAGATGCGGTCGCTGCACTGTGTATTGTTGTAACATTGTCTTTCATTCCTCTGAACCTTTGAAGAGGAGATCAGAGGCATTTAGATTTGCAATCTATAGCATGAGATTTGGCTATTAAAAATGTACGTCCACCCTCTTTGCTAAATATTTAGCCTGTCTTATAAACATTCAAATATAAATAAAGTTTGGAAGAGTGTAACAGCCTTTTTACAAACATAGCTAAATGAAATGTTTTGTCTCTCGGTGTTTTGGTATTAGTGCATTTTACTTTTGTTCCTTGCTAGGCGCAATGGGTGGGGATTGCAGATTTTGAGAATGCATTCCCCCTGCTTGAAAAGATTGTGTTGGCTATAAAATCTCCTCATTCCTGATGCTTTCTTGCAGAAGACAAGAAGCCTGAGCTGACTGAGAAGTGCTTCATAGTTTCTCCAGGACAGATCAGTAGGGGAACAAGTAACTTCCAGTGGATAATGTGTCCAGGTTGTGTGTGAGGGATCTCTTCCCTCTTCGGTCAGTTACTGAAAGAGCAGTATTGGATAAGTCAGTGGACCCTTTTTTATTCAGTTTCTTCAGAACGTTGAATGAGCTGTGCTGTACAGCATTGACTGTAAACACTGCAATGCTCAAACTACTGCTCTTCTCTAGCTGCTTAAGCGTGTGTGTAGGCTTGTATCTGACAGTGCGTGTAAGAACTGGGTTTGGTATTTGATGTTGAGCCAGAAAGGTTTTTCTTGTAGAGTTTGCTGGTCATTGTGTCCCAAATTTATCCTTTATGAAAAAATAAAAGCAGTATTGATAGCCTGTATAGTGTGAGAGAATTCAAGATGGAAAAGGATCTCTTGACTGATGTGCCATCGTCCCTCACCGCTGCAGGCGAGGCACACTGGCAAATAAGGACGTTTTCCCCTGCTTCCTTGCAGATATTTTCATCTCGTTTCTAACAGTCCTTTAGAAACTGTGGAAAGTGAAATGGTGAAGCATGATAGTTTTTAATAAAATTCTTTCCCCTAAAGCTTTGCCTTAATGACTTTGTTGGCCCTGAAGATCTCTGTGCTGTAAAGCTTGTATAATTCTAGGGAGTACATTATGGCATGTGAATATTACTACTGATGCAAACATTTGTGAAAGTCTTAGTATGTTTTTTGCTATCTAGTCTTGTAATCTGTAAATGGAAGCCGAGAGAGGTATACTGTCCAGCTAGAAACAAAAATAAAGCTCCTCTCAGCCTCCATCCTGGCAACAATTTCTGACATACTGGAGACAATTGGCTATTTTCCAACTTTAAGCCAGGGGCAATTAATGTTCAGATTAAAAGTTCCATGACAAAATATATAAAAGTTTTTGTTCATTTTGGAAAATGTGTAAATTCTATGGAGTTGCATGGAATCTGATACCAGGTTTTATTTCATGTTAAGGGAATGTTCTCGTGCAGTGCTGAAACTAAACCTACCGGGGAGAGGAAGGAATATAAGGTCAATATTTGAAATCTTTTGCAGCAGTAGTTCCCCACCCCTAATCTGTTGTGTTGTGGTTGTTTGGTTTTTTCTTTTTTTCTTTTTTTTTTTTTTTTTGAATCACCCAGTTTTGAAAACTTCAGCCTCTTGTTCCTAGCCTTGTTTCATCTACAGCTACCAGTGACCACTTAAATAGGATTCTGGATTTATGGCTGCATGGGGCAACGTATGGTGTTCTTAATATAGACGTCTTAAGGCTGAACTGTGATGCTGTTTCAAGGCTGGGAGTGCATTTGTTAGACTTTACTGGTCTTGATAAAGTCCTTCATCTAGTAACTTAGCTTTTTAAAGTATTCTTTAAGTGAAGGCTTACACAGGAATATTTCTCTGTTGCTACGCTGGAGTCATCAGCATGGCAGAAGCATAACCCACAGTCACTGCTGCGTGGCAGACAGTTTAGAGTACCTGTGAAACGTGGTGCTCGAGCAGCTCGGGCCTGCAGAAGCTCTTAGGAGGCAGGGCAGGAGTGTAGGGACTCGGATTACCTTGTTCTTTCTCATCCGTCTTGGGAGCAGGTTGGTTGTGTTGTCTTTAGCAGACCTATCCGGATTGTCGTGGTTGAGCTGTGGTTGCTCAAGAAGGAAAGTGTCGTCTGCCACAGCTCCTTGTGGCTCGGGTGGTTACGGGGCTCAGAGAAATGATGGGAAAATACCCTCCCTGTAGGGAAGCGACTGCCAAAGCCAATTCCTTGGCACCCCTGCCTCTAGAAGATAGTGTGTTTGAATGAGTTTCAGCTTTGAAGGATCCCTGAAAAATCCCTCTCCTTGTACTGCCTTTGTGTTTTAAACCCAAGTTTACTGAAGCTCTGCTTTTTACAGAGGTCCTAAACTAGGACCTACCTGTGTTATTTTGGGTTGTACACGTGTCCTTTCCTTTGGCCATCTGCTGCCTTGGGTTTGGGTTGCACTCAGAAATGTTGGCAGAGCAAGACTGGTGTGTGTTTTAATGTCCTGATTTCATTTACACAAATGCAGCAGAGTTGGGAACAGTGCAGCGTGCACAGTGTGACCTGATTTTAGAGGAGCACTTTGCCCTGGAGGTAGGCCGCTTGGCTGAGAAATCAGATTCATTATACATACAGCCTATTTGATAAAAGATTGGTGAAAGATGGACTGAAAAGGGCTTTTATGGATCTTGTGAAATGCCAAGTCTGTTAACCTTACCTGTAAAGATTTTGGGAGCAATTTTCTGTAGCTGAAATCATGAGGTTTAATATTTCCAGTGATTATTCACATTAAATTGACTCATTATTTAAAAACTGTTTTGTGAAGTGTCAGCAAGTTTGTGTTCACTCATCTATTTCAGCTTTGTCTCCCCTTTTGCTTGGAATAAAATAAATTTGGACTAATTTGTGTTTGACACTATAGGAAATGCTCGTAATGCTCCTGTTTTTAAAGTTATTTTCATGTTTTCTGCATCTTTGCAGGTTGGAATACATCTCTGGCCTTCCATCTTAGTCAGGGAATATATGGTATATCATCCAGCAATGAATCTGGATGAGCTGCATGGATAATTTCTGTAGTTTGAGTATTTAAGGAATGTAGTAGAATCCTGTGTTAATCTATCAGTTGTCACTTGGTGACCTGATTTAATCCTCTCATCATACTTTTATTTTTCTGATACTCTAAGTAAAGGTGGGAGATGCCATTGGTGTAACCAGGCTTCTGTGGTTGTGATAAATTATCTAATTATGTCTATTAAGATGAGCGAAGGGATCACCTCAGAGAAAAAAAATGCTATTTAACCAAAATAACCCTTAAGGATTTGTTCAGTATTAAATGAATGTCAAAAGCGCTCTGTCTGCTTCAGTGCAATTGGAAATCATGCAGTAAGGCAGATCAGCTCCACCTTGTCACATTAATAGGTGCTATTAATTCTCTTCTTGTATTTGAAAGATCTCTTTAATTCCCAAGGGAAAGGTGGATTACACAATTGCTTCTAGATTAAGCAGTTTGCACATGCCCTTTCATAATTTTAGAGGTTAGATTGGCTTTTTGAAAGTGCCCCGTGTTTGGTTGAATAGTCTTCCATTTGAAGACTAACAAAGGGGATCTCCGCTTGGTTCCCAAGTGAATTGCTGTCAGTTTCTAAGTTCTTACCTTGATATTATTCTAATTTTTCAAGTCAGCCTTGGTTTTGTCTACCTTTGTAGGTGTACTGATAGAGTGAGGAGGCAGCTTTTCTTTCTGAACAAATGTGACTAAGAGCCGAATTCTGTTCATAAGAATGGTACCTGCAAATTATAAACCTGGGGCTTATTTTCCGTGGCATTCTGTGCCATCACTTAATCTACTATAACATTTAAAAAACTCAACCAACCAAAAAAAAAACCAACAACCAAACAAAAAGCCCCCAACAGAACAAACAAACAAAAAACCACAAAACCAAAACCCAAACAACAATCCAAAACACCAAACACATGCTTCTGAATGAAAATACTTGGTCTGATTTTTATGTTGGAACTGATTTTTTATCATTAATGTGGGCAATGACTTTACTTTCTAGCTGTGTACTGTATATACGCTTTAACTCACTAACTTAACCAAACCTATAGACATCTACAGAGGGCTTTTAATATAGCCAAAATACCGTAAATTACCAATAGATACGTATGAAAGACGTCATAGCCTGTACTAGAGACAGATGGTGGAGCAGAATCCTGCTTTAGTGATTAACGGAGGTTGGAAATGATTTCCTTGCACTGCAGCTAGCGTCTTGTTGAGAAGACAGCCCGGTGACATGTCTCCCTGCAGAACCAGATACCCATGCAGTTGCTTCTGGGCAGCTTACGGGGACCGGGATCTCCAAATTCTCAAAGCAGCAACAAAGCAGGGCTTAGCAGGTCAGAATTGATCTATTGAGTCCCATCTTACATCAACATCTGAGTTAACTGTCATGTGCTGTGGGATAAGAGATTCTTTGTGTGGCAGCGATACTGTTACTAAGGCAATAACCTTTATGCTAGATCCTTGCAATTAAAACGTTAATGCAGGACCAGGCCAGTGTAGAAGGGCAGTTATAATACTGCGGGAATTTAGGAGTGAAGTTGCTGGACGAAACCTGTCAGACTACTACCAAGAACAGTGTTTTGAATTTCCCTTAATCCTTTTTCAAAAAATACACTGGCAGCTACTTAACATAGATGGTTTTATAACTGCTGCAGAAGTTTAAATATAAAATAGCAACACTTTTATCAATGTTTTTTTAATGTGAGACCCGAGGAAGAATTTCAAATTGACCATTTTTCCCTTTTTTATTTCGTAAAAGAAGCTCTAAGGTGCCTTTTAGAGTTAATAAAACCAAGTAGAATGAATTGCTGAAAAGCCTAAAAGTGAAAAGAAATAAGCTATATCTGTGAGACCCCTTATTATCTGTGTTCAGATCCTGGAGCTGCTGAATGCTGGTCTCTGTTGGGAGCAGTGAGGTAATGTAGGTCTCTGCCAAAGCAAGGCTGCTGTTCCCGTGCGCGGCTGGGAGGCGAGGACCCTCCGTGGGAGGGCGATTGAGACGCTTGGAGTAGGATGCAATCCCTGCTTCTTGCAGCTTTTTAGTGCAGAAATGGTCTGTGCTGTTAAAAGCTGAAACAGGTGAGCACTTGCAGTAAGTAGTCCTTCATGTGTAAGTGGGAGGAAAATCAACAGAGTTAACCCATTTCACATCATTTTAAAGTCATTCGACCATGAGCTGCTTGGTTGTCATGGAATGTAATTATGTCAACAGAGATGGAAAAACTCCTAGGCAAAAAGTGCAGGAAATCACATTCTTCCCCAAAGTTGCACTTAAAAAACCCAGAAGACCAGAAGGTACCTGCCTGATCATAGTCCAGTTGCCATCTGTTCTCAGGTGACTTACGTTGGTGCCCCATTTGTATGCTTATCCAGCTCTGTTTTTAAGCCAGTTACGACTCTTTCCTTCTATAATTCCTCCTGGAAAGCTGCTTCTTTCTGTTTGTGTGTCAACTTTATTCATGGTCAATTCATACCGTTAGTTCTTGCCCCTTTATCTTAAATAGCTTTTCTTACTGCATAGTATTTGCAATCCTGATGTATTTAGCAACCACAAACTGCTCAATCTTCTTTTTGCAAAGATGAACACATAAAATATTCTCTATGCTCAGAAGGGAAGCGTTTCCCTTCTGAGTTCTGTTTTGCAATCATCTGTCTTGGGTTTGGATGACTAGAATTGCATTTGGTGTGTTAGATGAATTCTGACTAATGCTTTGATGCAGTAGTGCTAATGTCAGTAAGAGCTGTATTAAGTTAGCTGCTGGGAGTTATCATGTGTTTTAGTACTAAAGAAAGTTCTCTACATCTCTGTCACTTGCAGTTGCAGCCCCCAATTAGCAGCAGGTGGTCATCAAAGAAATGATTTTTTTCTTCCTCTGTATCATCCCATTTCCCTTCTCAGTCATCTGTTTTTTTTAGTATTCCGGTTTCTCCCTCTAGTTTGACAATTTTTCTTAGCGTTATCTTTGCATTTTCCCATAACCTCCTGCATTGGTTTATTATGTAGTTTTTCTTAAGATCAGTTGTAAGCCAGTTCCTGAGAAACTGTTAGTAAACTGCCTTGGTGGTACGCAGTATGACGTAATCTCTTCCTCAGCTGGTTCTTTACCTGTTTCAGTTCTTTGCACTATTCTCTGTTTAACAGTAACATCCTATTTAGCATCATAAAATACTTTGCTGAGTCCATAGATTAACTTCACTGCTTTTCCTTTTAACTGACAATTCGGAGAAGGATCTCAGTTTTTCTGTCATGGGCTACCTTTTGGTAACTTTGTGTTGAGTTTTTTCCAGTTTTCTTTTTAATTCTCTTTATTTTCATTTTTAAGAATATTCAAATTTTACAGACATTTTAAGGTTATATTTTTTCCATGCTGTCAGACGTCCTGATGCCCTGTTTATTCCTACTTTAAGTCTGTAATAGTCTGCATATTATATTGGAGAGCCTGTCTGTGACTGTTGGAGCAAAAAGGGCTCATGAAGCAGGCTAAATGTAGATACTTTATTTGAGAGAGCTTGAAAAAGTAATAGAATTGAGTAACATGCTTATGTGAAGTAAGGAGCTTGTCTGGTTGGCTTGAAAGCTTCAGGATCAGCACAATGTGGAAGAATCGTTCTGGGTGATAAATTAATTTGTCCTTTTGGAAAAGGAGTGGGATGGGGTGGCACACTGGGTGTGTGATGGAAAGGAAAAGTCATTCCTCGCTTATGGAAGAGTCACTTTCCTTCTGGCCTGCTGGATGAGGGAGAAGCTTGCACTTTTTAACTTGTAATGTCATTTTGGCCTCAAACTTAGGGGGAGACAAGACAGAAGACGTGTTTTTTTTAAAATTATAGTTTGGCAATCTAGTTTTCTATATGCCCAGCTGACCTATTAAGAAGGAACTTGATTTCTTTGATCGTGACATAGTAGTTTAAAAATATGGTTCCCCTTTTTTAAATGTCAATATATGTTTTGCCAAACTAACTATCGTTCCAACCATTAAGCACAAACTTCCTTGCCAAAGTAAGTTAAAAATTCTGTGTAAATTATTTGGATGCTAGAGAATTATCTGAGAGAGAGTGAGCACAAAAATTGTTTGATTACAGTATAGCGATAAATTTACTAGTGTTTTCCCATTGGGAGGGGAATTTTTGCATGCTACTGTAGCGAAAAGATCACTAAAAGAAGATCTGTGTCTTGAGAAACTGTGTGTTTTAGCTGTCAGCCCTGACTGTTATTCGAGGAGGGGTAGGGGAGATTACCAGCTAGTTCTTAGGTAACAGAGGTCTTCATCCAAAGAAAGACCAACCAACAACAAAAACCAAACAACCCCCCCAACCTATATACCAAACTTTTTTTTAACAGAGAATGATACAGTATTTTTGTAAATTTTCAGTATTGAATAGCTGGCTTGTTTGTCTCTGAGCGTACTTAGCAGTTAAGAATAGTTCTTTATCTGTCCCATTAAGACTGTATTATTTTACAGAATAGTGGGTGGTATCCAGTTTTACCCTGATGCTGGCCAACTCCCAGCAAATCTTTACTGTCACTGAAAGCTGTAAGCAATATCAACGTATGTTTTCCTGAATCATTAATTCTATAGTTTAAGTCAGTGTCCTGCCCTCTGAAGCTCCGATATGCTGCAGCAGGGTATCCAGCATTCATTGGCGGTACTTCTTGATGTTACAACCCTACTAACAGAAAAAGCCTTTGTTTTCCAGGAACATTTTTCCTTTAAAGCAATTGAACTGTCTTGCAAAGTTCTCCCTGCTTAATAGTTCTGACTGGAGGGAGCTGATGGTGGTTGGCAGCCCCTGGCACCCAGGGGGCCTGTCGCTGTGCTGGGGACCTTTGAGAATGGCTGTGTGAAAGTGGGGTGGTCTGGTCAGGGAAACAACCAAGCCTGTTAAATCTTTTTGTTGTTTTCATGTCTTCAATTTGGTGAGTTTTTTTGTTTCCAACAGCTACGTCCCCTCGAGTTTCCTCGGAGCTCGAGCAGGCCCGGCCTCAGACAAGTGGAGAAGAGGAGCTCCAACTGCAGCTCGCGCTGGCGATGAGCCGGGAAGTGGCGGAGCAGGTCAGTTCCCGTGTAGGTTTTCCAAAGTGTCTATGCTTTGATAGTTGAGGCTACAATCCTGGTTTTTTTTTTTCAATGGCAGCTTGGCTTTGCTCCAGGTGGAATAGGGAGAGAGAAAGGCCACTTTGGAAGATGTTACTCTTCTCTTCTTTTTTTTTTTTTTCTAAAACCTCTTTTTAAGTAACTTCAGCCTCCGAGCTGTTGAGACTAGTGGAAGATGACAGTCACTTTGCAAGAAGACACTGTGTGGGAGGATGTTAATCATCATATTACTGGAGATGTTTTCAGTTAGGAGGAACTGAAAACATGTCTAGTCCTGAAAACCTTCATTAATGGGGCCAGCATAAGAAATGTCAATGAATTCTTATTACAATGAAATTTTGAGTGATCTGTTCATTCGGTAAGATTGTCTGGAACAGAAGGGTGACCTGACACAAAGTACTAGAATATATAAAGAACCTGGTTTAAAGTAACTTGGCTCCTAATCTATCACATGGGATATGTTACTGTGTTAATTCTTAGGAGGTTCATTCTGAATTTGGAGTAAATGCTGTAGTTGTGGATAAAGTTTGCTGCATATTCATATATTAACAAAGTTGTTGAATCTCAGCTGTGAGTGAAAATTCAAGTCAGCCATGCTGAGTGTCTCTAATATTTTAGAGGCTTCCTGTGACAACTTTAGCTTACTGCTGTATGTTAAGCATTAGTATCTCTGTGCTTGGAGACTATCACCCAGTAAACTTTGTCATTCTTGAGCAATGAAGTTAAAGAAAATAAAAATCAGAATCTTACTGGTTGAAATAGCTTAAAAAAAATCACAAGGGAAATACCAGCTGGGGAGTTAGTCAACTTCTGAAAGACGTGATACAAGCGAAGATATTTATAGTAGTTGAATGTACCACAAACATAGTAGTTTACAGATGTTTAAAACCTACAAAATATGCATGGAGTTGGCTAGATTAATTCACTTAGCATTCTTTATAACAGTTGCATCAAGTGTGGAGCGATGCTGACAAAAGTCAGGGGAACTAAAGTTTAACTCACTGTGTCCTTCAGTGGTGATTTGAATGCTCAAAAACATTACAATAATTTAGAGATGGGTTATTTACTTTGTCTTTAAGTTCTAGCATTGTAACTGAATTTTGGAAAGAACTTTTCATTTAGAGCTTTCCCATTAGGAGTAAAACAACATGAGGGTAAACTTCAGTCAGCAAGATGGATGTTACTATGATCACACTCTTACGCTGGTGTTACAGGGTCAGGGTGCTCCTAACCTCTGTTTGAGGCAAGAATCACAAGAATTATTTTTTTTTTTCCTCCCCACTTGCGTTATGTACAAGTTACAGCAAATATTCCTGGTGATCCCACTGCGTGTACCTGTGGTGCGCACGGCTCCCAGGGTGGCAGGGAGTGCTGCCCAGGCCTTCCCTGGCAGTGTCCTGCCGAGGGGGCTAGGCGCTTGGAGGGAACAAGCAGCACAGTCTAGGCTAATGGTCTATATCAACAGTGTTGATTTCCTTTGCAGGAGGAGCGCCTCAGACGCGGAGATGATCTGAGATTACAGATGGCTCTGGAGGAGAGTCGCAGAGACACAATTAAAATTCCCAAAAAGAAGGAGGTAGTGCCTTCGACTAAGAAATACCCGGTTATTCTGCCAAAAGCTGAAATACAGTAACACAAAATAGCTTAATAGTGAGCTCTTTTATGCTTTTGGGATTGCTTTGTTGTATAGCTTAAAGCTTCTTCCATGTGGGTTAAATTTCAAACTACTAGTCAATGCAGGTGTATAAAAGGAAAAAAAAAATAATAAAAAAAAATTGCTGCTTCACTCTCATGGATTTGTACTCAGATTAGTAATGCTCTTGATTAAAGCTGAACTTACTCGTGCCCTCAGCATACCACTTTGTTGGACCTAATGGATGCCCTGCCCTCGTCGGCACCGGCCCCACAGAAAACAGAGCCTTGGGGACCTCCTGCTGTTGCAAACCAAACCGATCCCTGGGGAGGATCCACAGTTGCAGCTACTGCCTCTGATCCATGGCAATCATTTGGTAAGACTAAACTGCCAGAAGGAACGCTTCTTTAAAAGTTTTTGCTTTTTAATGTTGAGCTTTTCAGAGTTTCTCCACATACAATGTCACGCTTGATAACAACAGTGTATTAGTCCATTTTGATTTTTTTTTCTTGTACTCTAGCATTCACCTAACTCATTTCCAAGCAGAAACAAGTGGAAGTTGCACTCTCTTTAAGCAGCTGGGTTTGTGTGTGTGCATTTTGAATCTTAAGAAAGAGGAGAAGAGTGAAGCTTCTGTTGCAAAAACAACTTGTCTCAAGCTAGGGGGATGCTTATGCTTTGTCTGCTAGTTGTGTCCAGTGCCATGGGTTTAGACTCTTGCCAGGATTTAATATAGTGTTTACGTAGGGTCCTATGGTTGAGAAAGCCATAGATCTGAATTACCATGTCTTTGATTGCTCCTAGTGAAATGCGGTGTATATACTGTCAAAACCAAAGGGATTAAATTGTGTAAATGGAGATTTTTATATAAACAAAAAAAATGAGGTTGCCATTTTTAATATTCACTGTGTTTCATAAGCTTTTGATGCTAAATTCATGGAGTCTGTTTCTGAAGTGGAAGATCCGGTGTTTCACATCTTAAAGAGCAATTAAGCTCGCTTTTTTGCGTGTGCTTTTGTGTGTGTGTGTTTTGCTGCCTGTGTAGTGTGCCGTTTTCTAGGTTAGCTAAAGTCTGTCCAAGGAGTTAGCTCCTTTGCATAAGAAAGTTGTTGGTTCCTTGTAGTACATGTTAAACTTACTGTGTTGTGGAATTGGAGGCGCATCTAATTTTTTTTGTTGACTTTGGATTTTTTCTTTTTTGAGGGACAGGGTGTTTCTGTGCAAGTGAAAGCTTTTTCATGAAGACTAGCAGCTTAGATCTGTCAGTTTTGCTTCAGGCTGGTGATTCTACAACCTCTGCTATAAAGTGCTTCAGGGTCATTTGCGTTAGCGTTTAGCTCACCACTGTTCAGACAGATTCCTGATGAAAATGTTGAAGTTTAATAATGAAATGCTTTTTTTTTTTTTGCTCCTCATGGTCTCATGGTGGCATTAAAGGTACTTACATAGCTACTGGGCCAACTGCAGTTCATTGTTCTGAGTGTAATCTGTTTCTTTTTTGGTGATAAACTGCAAGCATTAAATCGGAAGAAATCCAAATTTTTAGGCCTTAAGGCTGTTCAATGTATTTTTCTGTGGTTAAAAAACAAACAAAATTCACCTACTTCAAATCTTGTGCTCAATCTGTCCTCTGACAAGATTTTCCTTGCATCAGTTGCAGCGGTAGCATTTCCTCTCGGTGGCTCCCAGCTTTTTAACACCATAAAACAACCCCTTGTTTGAGCTTGCTGGTTACTTGGCTCCCAAGGATAGTAATGAAGATGTAAGATTTGTGAATTTGACTGCTAATAAAAGAGTGACTCATTAAACTGTATTTCTCAAATCCTGCGAGTGCTTTGAAATTTCAGTAGAGATAATGGAAGCTACGGGAAGGTATCTTCCCAAGTGCTCTTATTTTGTGCACTCTCTTTATCACAGAAAAGACATTTTTGAAAGCTTCTGTTTATGGGAAGTGCTGTCGCTAGCATTTCTTGTGTGGCATTGCCTGTAACTCAGCACTAAGGGTAAATAAAGGAAATGTAAGTAGCGGTGTGGGAATAGTTGGATTTAGTTGGAGAATTTTAGCATTTCCTGGTCCGAAGCTGTAGCAACACCATGCCGCCTGTTGATGAAACAAAGACCAACATTGCAAAATGGAATTCGTGCCACTGTGTGTAGCATTGAATTAGTTTTCAAGCGTATTGTGCTGCCAAGGGGGTTTGTATGTAGTTTTAAAAAATAAAACAATATTCAGTTGTAACTTGAAACCAACATGGTAGTTAAAGATAATAGCAGTGTACCGCATGGCTAATTCTGTCCTACTCATGGATTATGCAGTTCTCATTTAGTAATTAAACCATGACTTGTTTGGGAAGCGGAAATGTGTTTGCATGTACTATCTGACTTGAAGGTAATTAATCACCGTAGAGTTGTACAGGATGTGCATTTCAAGTACGGGGTTCCCATTCCTGCACTCGGATGGCTGGGGAGGGGTGGTGAGGATGGACAATATAAGAGCAAAGCAAGAGTGATACCTTCCAACACAGACCTGGCCCACTGCACATCGGAAATGTGATTTGCTTTGCTGATCCTGGGGTTTGGTAAATCAAAATAGTTTCATTTAATGGTAGAAGGAAGAAGAGGTCACCTAAACTGAGCAGCAATAAATTAGTAGGTTGAAGAGGAAGAAGAAAAAACTGGCAGTAAATTGTATACGGTCCGGCAAGTTTCTTTCTCTTTCCTTTTCCCTTTACTCCCTTAATTTGCCACTAGGAAGCCCTAACCTTGTGCACAACCTGAAGAAGTTTGGTAATTGGGATTTGTAGGAATGAATAGTTGTCAGCATCTTCCAATAAAAATGGGGATCCTGAACATACAGGCATTGGATTTAAAAAGAAATATAAGAAGGGGTATCAGTGGACAGCTTAGACCTGTGTCAGGAGGAGTGCTCACAAATGGGAATAAAAAAAGCACAACTAGCTCAGGGAAGCTGTTTATATTTTTATAAAATAACAGTATGGTTGAAAGAGTTTGAAAACTCTTCCCTTTGAATCCTACAAATTTCTTTTCTTTGTCCAAGTCTTAAAGTTGTACATTTCATACCTTTCACTTACAGGCTTTTTAGAAACCTTTCCTATGAGCTCATAACTATGCCCTGTATTTGGGTCACCTTCAGTCAGATATTGTCTGTTGTTGTGGTAATGTCTGTAACAAAAGCAAGTTTTATTTTCTTGTTGGAACTGCAGGTTTTTATTCAGTTTCAAATGGGAGGTTTGTTTTATTCATGTCTTGCACAGAATGTATTTGTGCTTGTTGTTCAGTATCTATGGCACAGATGCTGAGACTTACCAATATTCCTAATGTTGAACTGCTTCACCTGTTTATGTTTAGTATTAATTGGCAGTGATGGCTCGTAAGAGAGATTAATTTCCCAAGGAAAGCTTTCCAAAGTGAAACTGTACTGACTTGTGTTCCTGCTGGCTCTTTTTACAGGTGCCAAACCAGCTGCTTCTGTTGACCCTTGGGCAGCACCAGCAGGATCCACAGCTCAGTCTCTGTCCAAAAATGTTGACCCTTGGGCTCCTGCTCAGCCATCTTCTACTGCAGCAAAATCTTCTGTGGATCCTTGGGGACCAGCACCTGCAAACAAACCTCTTTCTACTTCTGGTGAGAAATGGTCTCATCCCATATCCATATTACTTGAGTAATGAAGGTGAAGTCCAAATTATTTTCTTGCATTGCTTGGTTAAAAGAAGCTATGTGCAGAACAGTTTGCAGAACTAGTCTGTAAAATAAATGGGAGTTGTAATAGCTAGCAGCAAAAAGAACTTCAAATGTAATTATTCTGACTTAGAGCTCTGAATTCGTGTTGCTTCTTCATGCTCTGTCCCTTCTACATTCTTTTATTGGTATGTGTGGATGCATGCTGAGCACTGACAACTGCTGCTGCTGTTGGGTTTTTAAATGGTTTTTATCTTTAATTAGACAAGGACTTAATTTCTGGAAATGAATGATACTATAATTTTACCTTTCATCATGATAAATAGCTATGCAGATGGATGTCACTGCAGACATAGATTGACAGGTTGAGCAGCTACACGCTCTGAGGAGACTTTTAGAGGTGCAAATGAAGGTTTGTTACTTCAGACTGAGGGTGTGAAAGCTGTCCGTAAGCCCTGTGTAGCAGGATGCAGAAGGTGCTGATGTAATTGTCTATTCATGCTCTGTAACTAGTGCAACCTTGATGAATCTTAATACCTGGTATTTTCATGTTGACGCCGTGGCTAAATGCATCCTAAATGCATTTTCTGCTAGTCATTTGTCTCGGTACATAATAAACAAAGGAATCAGAGTACTGCAAAAAGTTGTCTAATCAGCTTTTCACTGGGCAAAAGGCAGTAACTGGATCATTATGAAAATGAGTTTTTAACTATGGTGGGTCTTTGTTCTTGTAAGAAGTATTGTTGTTATACACAGTCTTCACTCATTCTCTTGGGTTTTTGTCTTTTTGTGCTCTTTATGGAGCTAAGTCCATACCTTCATCTACTTGAAATCTGTTGAAGGTTGAAAATAAACTAGAAAACCGTTTCAACTAATTAAAAAAAAAGGGCAAACTGTAAAGCTTTTCAGGAGTGTGGTTGCTGTTCGTTTAGGTCTTGTTTTTCTTCCTCCATTTTGAGGTAAGTGTGTGTCCACATTTTGAGAATATTATGTTTTCACTGATTGAAAACTATGGGCAGGTTCTCGTGCTTTAGCTAACAGGGCCTTACCATCTATACATGGCGTAGATAACCTTTTCTATTGCATTCCTTCTCCTCTTAACTTCAGAAGCGTAAATCAAATCATCGCTTAAGTTGTAGCAGTGCTGCATTTGTCTTTGAAACTGTATTCAGAAGGGTGTTTTATTTGAGGGCTGCCGATTAACACACTTTAGGCTGTAAATTCATTGCTGTTCTCTCCTTCTACAGCGATATATGCCTGCCTATATGTCTCTAGTGCAGAAACTCGATAAAACCCCAGTATGCTAAGGTGTGCCTTACATTGTGATTTAAAAGCACATTGCTCTGAGTTTGTTGGCTAATACTATAAGAAAGGATGGTTCTCTGACATTATCTTTCTCTCTGGCCTGGGTAAGAGTAGGAGCCCTCAAGCTGATCTGAACTGCTGCCCTGGAACCTGACAGAGTGGCTTCTTGGTAACGTGAATGGGTTAGAAATTGCTTTCAGTAGGATCAGGTGTGGGGTGCAACCAAAAAATCTGTTAATGACAGGGCTGTCTTGTTGTTTTGAACAGGAAGTACATCTTTTGACCTCTTCAGTAATTTGAATGGTACAGTTAAAGATGATTTTTCAGAATTTGACACACTTCGAACTTCCAAAAAGCCAGGTATGAATCAAATTCTTAGCACATAGACAGTTTGGGTGATAGTCTCAGCAACAAATGTCTCTCTTCTTAAATTTTTATTTTTAAAAATTGACTTTCACAAAGGAAAAGATTAAAGCTGATGATAATGCAGCAGTAAAAGCTTGTTGTTAACATTTTGGCCTGTGCATGAACTTCGGGGAAATGGGCCTTTTGCATTGTAAGCCATAGAATTTCACTCTGTAACCTTTCGCTGCATTGACCCAGAAATTTGTTTGACTTCTAAATTTACAGTATCCAATGTGTTTGGAGTATGGCTTGTGCTCAGAGAGTCAAACAGAACAATGTTGACTGAATTTCTTGAATGTGTAAATTCTAGTGTGTAACAATAGTAGGAAGATGAGAAAATACACTTCTATGAATGCTTTAATTTATTTTTTTATTTGGTCATTAGTCACTAAAATAAAAACTGCCAGACCTTAACGTGTAAGTGCTTTGATACTATGTACTTTCAGGATGGTTCTGCGTGAAAGAATTGTGACTAATTCAAAGCTGGGCTAGGCTTCTTTAACACAAAAGAGAAAACCTGGGTGGAATCTAGCTAGGAAGGGTGCAGCAGTGGTGTAGTGCAAGGGCAGAAGCCAAGGCTTTTGAATACCTTTTCCTTGGAGACTCTTAGTCCCATCCGTTGCAGCATAGCTTTGAGAATATTCATCAGGGCAAATCAGGTAGCGCCTTCAGTAGAGCACTGCAACTCTAACTGTGGCTTCTTCATACTCTTCTAAAGAACATTTATCTGCTTGCATGCTATGAGGGTGTAACATGTACTGAAACATTTAAATCTGACTAATACAAACATTAGATTTTACAAACATTTCTGCTGTCAGAAACTTCAGGGTTTTCTTTGCTTGACTATGTAGATTAATGATTGAAGTTTTGTTTTTCTCTGTGTTGTTTCAGCTGAATCAGGTTCCACTTTGCCATCTCAGCATAGCGGTACCACAAGTCCTGATCTCTTTGATTCCCAGCACTCGAGCGTGACATCAGGCAAACAAAGTGCAGCTCGGAAAACCCCTGAGTCTTTTTTGGGCCCCAATGCTGCTTTGGTGAACCTGGATTCACTGGTGTCTAAGCCGCCGCAACCTGTTACTTCACTGAATCCGTTCTTGGCACCAGGTCTGTTTCTGCACGTTCCTCCAGTTTTCTGTTTTAGCTTTCCCTTCCTATAGGACAACTCAGCATAACTCAGTCCTATTTGATTTAATGTAAGCTGGTTTGGGCTTGTTTTTCTTGATTACTTCAGCGAACAGATCTGAGAGCAGGAGGGTGAGGCATCATGGTTTCAAGGCATATTGCCGGACCCTGGAAATGCAGAGTTTCCACTCTTGCATCTTCAGCTAATCGGCTGACTGACCTTTGTTCAAGCAATTTGTCTTCTACTTTTGCCCTTGCTCTTTCAAAAAGATCTGTGTTAGAAGGCAGCTTTGGGTTATTAAAAATGGCTGAGCTAAAGCCGATTGACTGTCAAAACAGGTAAGATGTGAATGTGTGCCACCAGAGAATCCGTTGGGAAGGTAATAGGTTGGAGGTTCTTGTGGAAGCAGGTAGGAGTTACCCTTTTGCTTGTGTCTCAGCAGGCATGGTAGCATCTCTGACTGCAACCCGAGGTTCCAGATAGCAAACCCTGCAGTATAATTTAGTGGGTTGCTGGTTAGGCTGCCTTCAGGCTAGCACGATAAACCAGTTTTGATCAAAACACATTCTCAGTGTATTTTTTTTGGGGGGAAAAAAAAAGGTAGCTGTTGCAGTTCTGTAAGTCAGCCCCTGTTAAAAGTGAACCTTTACTTACAGCAGACTTAGATGGTGACGCTAAAGACGTAGAAGATGTATGTATTTTTTTAAAAGCTATTCATAGTACTGAAATTCTGTGTGATGCTGGTATGGTGAAATACTTTAAAATGCTATTTCAGTGTTTATTTTTTTTTGCTCTTCCAACAGAAAAAAATGACAGTTCATTAAACTCCTTGGGTAGGAAAAAAACAGTAATTCTGAACAGCCTTGGCAGTGTTTAGCAAGAGGAAGTCTGTGTATCTGCCACTACCGGTTACTACAAAAAGTTTATAAGGGGTCACTGGGCCATCCAAATAACGCTATACATATATGGTAAAAGGAATTTGTAGTGTTGGCGGCAGTCCAAAGAACCTCAAACACTGGGAAAGTTATTCTCTGCTTTTTCTAGCACCGCTGTAATTCGGAAACAACTTGTTTACTTTATGAATTCTTGTCAAAGCTTAGTGCCAGAAACATGTACAGTTTCTAAATGAAGTTGACTGGATGAGATCTTGAAGCAGATGCACAAATTTGCAGTAGTCACATTGCGGTAAGGGAGTACAGAGAGCCTGCGGTTCTCTTCCGTAATGCAAATTTTAAGTAGCATTTAGAAAAAAAAAAAGAGTTAGTGATCTGGATGTCACGGTTGGGCATGTTCCAGGTAACCAAATTTAGAACCTGCCTCTCCAGAGACCACTATCAGGAGTGGAAGCTCTTGGTCAGCAAAGGGATGTTTTGCAGCCTTGGTAGGTTCAAGGAAACAGACTGTACTTGTGCACCGGTGCAGCCCCGGTTTGCTGAATGGCATCCACGCAAGTTTCTCCGCAGGGTGTTTCGGGGTTGGGAGCATGTGGGGATGTACCGAAGGTATGTTCTTTGCCAGAAAGGATGATCTCCAAAGCCTCATGTTTATGGAGGTGCGATCTCTTTCCCCCTTTC